TTTTGGTCACCACGATGTAAAAAAGATGTTGAGACTCTAGAAAGAGTACAGAGAAGAGCAACAAAGATGATTAGGGGACTGGAGGCTAAAACATATAAGGAACGGTTGCTGGAATTGGGTATGTCTAGTTTAACGAAGAGAAGGACGAGGGGGGACATGATAGCAGTGTTCCAATATCTCAGGGGCTGCCACAAAGAAGGAGGGAGTCAGGCTATTCTCCAAAGCGCCTGAAGGCAGGACAAGAAGCAATGGGTGGAAACTAACCAAAGAGAGAAGCAACCTAGAACTAAAGAGAAACTTCCTGACAGAACAATTAACCAGTGGAACAACCTGCCTCCAGAAGCAGTGAATGCGCCAACACTGGAAGTTTTTAAGAAGAAACTGGACAGCCATTTGTCCGAAATGGTATAGGGTTTCCTGCCTGAGCAGGAGGTTGGACTAGATGACCTCCAAGGTCCCTTCCAACTTTATCATTATTATTATTGTTATTACATTTCCTTGCCTCCCTTGGAAATGCTGCCTCCAGCAGATTTCCTATGTAGATACTTCCCAACTTCTGGAAACACTTGTGCCTTGAAACCAGTATTGATATCTGATAGTTGAAATTGTTCATTATATAGTTATTTGTTATTTTATATAAACGGAGCTTTGTTCAACATTGCAAAATCCAAAATTGAAGAGGTGAGAGAAGGTCCTGAAATAGGCAATAATGATCTGAAAACAATGATCTTTAGATCTGATTTTGACATGCTTTATTTATGATCAGATAATCCTTAGTGTTGACAAAAATGATTGAACTAATTTTAATATATTAAACAGTGAAAATTAAAATAAACTCTAGTACCTTGTTAAACAGTTCGCTTTCATTTTATTTTAGGAAAGTTTAGAACTGGTTGTTTCTCAGTAGGGAAAATAAATTCATATGTAACATAATTATGATATGAAGAGTACATTCTCATTCTCAATGACTGGAATTATTCTAATATTGTAATAAATCATTCAACATTTGTTTCTTACCACTTTAGGTATAGTGATATCATATACACATACATATATAGTTAAAGTGACAGCCTATAAACTTCATAGAAGTGATAAGAAGAACCATTTCTATAAAAAAAGGTTTCACACGACCAAAATAATTTTTATCCATAGTTCACTTAATATCATATTTGGGAAAATTTTTGAAATCAGATTTAATTCTTCACTTTTTTTAGATGTGCTAAAAGAACAAATGCTATTTGTTATATGCAATCTGACAACAGGTGAACGTCTACTGCAACCAATAAGAGGCTGTTGTACAGATTTATTTATTTTGGCTGTGATAGATGATTCTTTGTGGAACAAAAACATGAAAAGATCAAACTTGCAAGAATTCACCATCTAGACCTCTTGCTAAATTATATGAATGAATAGCAAACTGCATAATGAATGTGTTACCTGGAAGATACCACTAGTGTTACAGAAGAGAATATATTCAATATTTATAAATATATCAAACAAGACAATCCATGAGATCATTTTTGAGATATTTCCTTAACTAATCAGAAAAACAGAATGACTATGGGCAGGCAAACAAGCAGTGGGAGCAGAAGCAGCTTCTGGCTTCCTGCTGGCCACAGGGGGAAGGCTCACAGGGAGCATTGGAAAGAATCTTCTTCATCTTGCAAAATTTCAATTCCACAAGAGCAAATGGGCCCCAGATTTTGGGTGCCTTCTTTAAGTTATCCCATTTCAGGTACTTTGATTCAAAAATGGTTGCCTTATGATATATCATTTCACCCAGTTGAAGGTTACAAACAGACTGTATATTTATATTTGCATTTTAGTAGAACGAGGCAATAAATATGCAATGCTTTATTGTCTTTTTCAAACTTATATTAGGAATAGGTAGGGGAAAAGAAGTTAATAATTGCTTCAGTTAACAATCCAAGTACTCAAGATATGCATATTTCTTAGAATATATAATGATTTCATTGTGCATTTAATAATAGTGCATTCAGCCCATTCTTTATTCATGAAAGTAAACACTTATAGCTGATTAGTAATAACAAACAAACAATCTGGAACCAAAATTTCAAGGCTGCTGTTTAAAACTTTATCGTTGGAAGTCTTACACATAACACAAGTAATTATAAACACCAATCATCAACATCCACAGAAGTCTTCCTTTAAAAATAAAGCAGGCAAATTAGCTCATGCATCGCCTTGTGATAGTAGTTTTCACATCACTGTTCAGTACAGGTGCTTTTAATGGTTACAGTGAGTAAGAGTGGAGATGGTGAGACATTTTTTAGATTGAGTGCTGGACTTTCTTGCATAGATTTCCTTGTGCTGGATGTTTCTTGTTTGGTTCTTTTCTCCTTCTGGTACATTTCCCATAGCGAAGATCAATCAAAAAAAGCTGGACTTCAAAGAAGCATCACAATGATGCATATAAGCAACAGACATATTAAGATAAGACAGAAGTTTACAAAAAGCTCCTGAAGCCTTTGCCGTGTTTGTGGATGTATCTCAATAGTTGAGGCTCTCCTCAGAGCAGAGCGAGTAATGTGCTGGACCTTCTCCATGGCAACGGGAAAGCAGAAATTTAAGAAAGAATGGATTTCTAAGAAGCAGAGTACAATGTGCTTAATATCTTCAGTTTGAGAAGTTTTAAGAATCTTTGTGGAGCTAGGGAAAGTAGGAAAGTGAAGTTAGAATTACAGCAAACAGTGGTTTAATCAGCAAGTGTAGATTATTTCAAGGTGACAGAATGCAACACATTGTATAGTGAAACAAAGTCTTAATGAGAAACAAAATATACTCTATACCAGTATTCTAAATACAGATTGCATTAAGTATATTTTTGTGCCTTAATAGTGTATATAAATGAGATAACTACAACTGTACACAGAATTTATGAATAATTTTAGCCCTGCTGGCTGGAACCATGTTCTGTTGTGTAAAATAACCTGCATAGGAAAGCAGTCTTGAGAGACAGTAGATGTTTGACACAGTGGTTGTGATTTGTGACTCACTGTGCTGAGTGCAGTCTACCGACCATGTATGGTGGTGACTCAAAGGGCTCATTAAGCTTCCTCTGTCTGATGTCCACCAAAACAAAAAAAGCTGTCAAGCACCTGACAATCCAAAAAAACACTGTAGTTGGTGGGCTGCATTCAGTTTGAACCATGATTTTTGCTGGAAGCATAATAAATATGCTTCACAGTCCTTGCTTTTCCCTACATTATTTTCAGCCCTGTTTGATTCTGGAGAGATAAAGGGCAATAGTCTATTCGCCATCAAAAATATTTGCCTAACGCTATGTCCAGTTTCTTTTTTTGGCTTACATTTGTCAAGGGTTGATACTGTAATAACAAAACTGTATTCTCAAGGAACTCGGTAAAAATGGTATCACTCTTCAGGCCAAATATGGACACATTTGTTCTAAAATGTTTATCCTGCTCCAAGCAGACTATCATGAATGAAATACTTACAGATTAAACACATTTGTTAACTTAACACTTGACTGATATATCTCATAAATAGATGATAGAAATATTTATTTTATTGACATGTTGTGTAAAAGCACTCTGTTGAATTTCATATTGTCATGACATTTATTTTATGGAATTTTCCATGCTATTTGGAAGGATCAGCCATTTACTTGGTCATATAATATAGTTCTGTTTCTGACAAGGTTAGCAGTTGCTATTTCAATATTTAAAAATTGGAAAATGAAAAATTGAAAGAATTAATGATTAATCCTCATATACTAGTGTTCGTTTTATGTCAATATGCAACAAAGTCAGCTGATATTAACTTGATTTAATACTATCACTTTGCTTACAAGTATTTGACTTTGGAAGCATTTTAGAGTTCTTTATATCTGGTGATAATATCAGAACTACTTTGAAGAAAATGGGAATCTATGCAACTTTTTTAGATCATTTGGGACTGCAATTCAATTTTTGTTCTGAAAAGGTTACTATTTGAAATTAGTATGAATAATACTGACAGTATAGAACTCTTTTTTTCTTGTGCCTAAAAACTGAATTCTTGTAATTGTGCTGTAATGGTGTTTTTCTGTGTTTTACCGATATTTACATTTGAATATTTTCCCCTCTTATTTGGAGTTTTATGGACACTTGAATTCCTCAAATCAGTTTAACTGAAATTATAAATCAGTATATTAGGGTGTCCCTGTGTAGAAAAGCTATCTTGAAAGATGAGCAAGTACTTTTTAATTTTAATAAATAAAATTCATTCACATGTTTTACTTCGTTTTTTCATGTCCCGTGCAATGCAAGTTCCAGTTGACAAAAGTCAATAGAAATTCTGTTAATAGCTTTCTATTCTGTTTATGTTGTACAGAACTGTTTTAAATATCCAAATGTTATAACTATTGGACAGAACACAATTCTTTTCATTTTTTAAAAAAATTGAATCATTTTTTAAAATGATTTCTATTGTCTGTTGGCTGTAGACTTAGTTATGTTAAGTAAAATGTGCTCTCACTCTCTTATACACACACACATACACACATTATCCCTATGAAATATGGGATAGGGATATTTATATTTTACAGTGATTTTTCTTATTGAAAAGTTGTTTTAGGGTCAGCCTGTTAAAATGTCTGTTTTCATCATCACTTAGCAGGAATTGCTTTTACTGAGGTTTTCCATCCTGACTGATTCTCCTCAGAAGTAGTTATTTTCAATGTGGCATAGGTGTGGGACTGCATAGTTTTCGCAACAATTTTATTCAGCAGTTGTTAAAAACACATACCGGCTGTGTGGGGCAGTTAGACTTCCCAAAAGTAGGTTAGTCCACATGTTAAACATAGGTTTAAAATGCCCCATAACAATATTGGATTGCGTGTGATATAATACAACAGATGTTAACTTGTGGAACAAAAAGTTACTAATGTGAATCCATCCATAATTATACTGTGTAGGATCTTTTTTTAAAAAAAAAAACTATGTTATAAGCTGAAGCCTAGTATACATATAAGTAGCAATTAATAAAAAAATAAAATGATAATGAATAGGATTAGTTTCTTTGTTTTCTGTATTGTGCAGTGAAAGGCTGGCTACGTTTCTGGAAGACTCTGAAAACTTACTGCTTAATTGGTTTTTGAGGACCCCAATGATGGTCTTTTAATTGCTTCAATTTTTACTCTTCCTGATTTAAATGTAGACTTTTAATGTTACGGTTTGAGTGTTGTTTAGATGTTACATTTTGTTAAAATTTACGTCTATCTCTCTGTCTGTCTGCCTGCTTGTTTTGGGAATTATCTTGACTTTGTTGTAGTTTCAGAGTCAAAACAACTTTTACAAACAACTAAGTAGTGAGATTATTTTTCCATTAGAGGTCATGAGTCTGCTGCTGATTTCTCTTGTTGAAAGGATACGCAAGAGAAAATAGATTGGAGCTGATGGTGGAGTCCAGTAATTATATTTCTCAGCCCTATATTAACAAAACTGCTTTGTTGGTTCCCCAATTAAAACTGTAAGTTCCTTCTTCCACAGTGTATCATTTAATTGAAATTTTGGCAGGTGTCAAATATTAATTTCCATACAGGTAGCTGGGTTTTCTTCATGATCTCAGTTGTATTAGTTGCGAATCTAAATTATGTGGTCAGTGATGGATCTAAAGTAAAATATATTTTAGAAAATACTGCAATATATTGTTAATTAAAGATAGAAATTAACAATTTAATAAAATAAGGAATAATTTATTAAGAGATAAATAATACGAAAATGTCCAGAAAACTGAGGGAATGGAGATTAAACATAAGCGGGTTAAGAAAGTCGAAAAGAGACAGTAAGTGAAAAGAAATACTAATATTGAATGTTAAGAAAAAAGTAAAGATTATTGAAAAGTGGATAACTTAATATGACACTCTGCCTCCATTATAATCCAAGAAGCACACTGGTAAATGTTTTCTCAAAAGAAATAATGGAATTAGCCTCAAAATATTTTTTTTAAAGGCGAGTTAGGACTAGGAATGTTACAAAAATCCAAAAATGTTAATTATAGCAAACTTGTCAATTTTTCAATCTTTATTTGATTTCTAAATTCAAAATATAAGAGAATTTAAGTAGTTTAGGCAGGAATAGTTGGATTAGAACTGTTTACTAGGATCCAGAGGAACACTGGATCTTCTTGCCCAACAATTTTTTGTGCATGTATTTCTTGACCATCAAATCCCTCATTCTAGTCCAAAAATAATAGTATTAAAATTGAAGGCATTTTAAAGCCAGTCTGTCCAGAAAAGGGACTTCTGCTAAACATTAAGGTCTTTCCTATATATATATTACTCTTTTGAGACTTCTCTGATTTGCTTTTTGGATCCAATATTTCCTTAAATATATATGATTCATTTGCTGGGCAGCAATAAATATACACATACACAAAATACACATTGTTGACACCAGAATTGATATATCGATACTATAAATGATTGTTTTAAAGGAAAATTGTTCACGTATCTAACAAAAGTTAAACTAGAGAGGAGAGGAATGCTAAATGCTATATAGTCTAGATCTTTTTTTTCCAGAAAGAGTTGAAATATTAGATTTGATGTTTCTTTCTACTTCTCCACGTATTTTCTCTTTTTCTTTCTCTCATGTCTCTCTCCCTCTCTTTGGCTCTAACCTGCATACAGAATGCTTGACATGTTTGCTTCTTTTATAAAACAAAAATAAACACAGAAGGTAGCTTACACTTGATTTCTGTATCATTGTAATGTTCAACAAAGGTATAGACTATTTTTTGTTACTGGAATCAGGATAGTTAATCGGAAAATAAAAAGTACTATTATAATAAAAGTAGAGTCCCTTACCTTAATGACTGATGATTACTGAATTATATGAAGATGTGCTGTGGGAAACTAAAAGACGTTCTCTGTCATCAGATTTATGGGAGCAACTGAAGTTCACTGAAGGGGGAAAAAATAACAAAAGTTTCATAGGCTGGGTTCATGATGTCATTCTGGAATTTAACTCCAGTGATTGGTTACACAACAGATTGCAAGAACAGGGAGATGGCAGACCTAGCCTTGTTTAGGACAAGGATGTTTAGTTTTTCTTTTCACAGGGAAAAAGAAGAGATAGAAAATGAGATAGCATGTCCATAATTTAAGAAATCCAAACAAACAAAGGATAGTTCTGTTAATAATATTTAGATAGTGCTTGTTCATTTCCTTCCATTCAGCTTGAATGATAGCACTTACCTTTATACACACATAAAACTACTAGTTTGAAAAAACATGATATTGGATATACAATTTACATATACTTAGGGGGTAACATACTTGGACTGCAAAAATATGGATGATCTCCGGATAACAGCGAAGATATACTCCAAACTCCAACTTTTAGTGATCATCCAGATTTTTGGAACTGAATTGTGATAGCCCAACACAATAATATTCAGACCATTATTCAGTTAACAAATCTGTATACCACAGATACTTGAAATGAAACTTCCACATGTTCTTAAAATTTTGTGTTGAAGAAGAGTTTTATAATGTTCATTTTTAAATTCTTTAAAATATTTCAGTGCTGCTTTATAATCAGGAGACCCTCAAGTCTACTGAAAGGACATTTGTTATTCATTGCTGGGGGAAGGACATGGCAGCCTGCTATTGTGTGCTTAAATTAGCATTTGGATTTATAGTCCAGATAATTTGGACATTGAATCAACATGCAGTCTTGTTACTATGTATACTTCTTACTTAAGCAGTTCAAGAGAGTCATCTTGTCAGGTGAATTTGCAACACTGGCAGCAATATAAGATATATAGCTTTAGGTGACAGGTGATTTTGGCCTGTCTTTTAGCTGAGATAAGCATTTTAGGGTGATATAAGCGGCAGCCTTTTAAGTAACAGTTATTGTTCCTTGTCATTGTTGAAACTACATAGACTTTTAAGAGAATGGTATTTGCCCTTTCAAAAAGAATCTTCTTAAGATAAAGTTTTCTTTTGTTTAACATGCATGGCATTGATATTTCACTAACGTTAGCCAAGCTATTGGAAAAGGTGTATGGTGTTTCATCTAGTATATTTGGTTTATACATATTGATCTAAAATATGCATGGCTAGTATTCTATATGCGTATATTTAAGTGACATAAATGGTATGGACTTAAATAACTAGCTCCCTGATTTAGTTTTGTTTGTATTGTTTATTTAAAGTTGACAACTACCAGTAAATATTAATTGGGGAATATATTAGGAAAGGAATAATATATTAAGGATACTGTGATCCACAAAATATTTAAGTGATAATACATTTGTTAGTCTTAAGTTCCCATAAGTTTTTAGTTGTGTTTACTGCAAAATACAACTAAACCTGGCAGCTCCTTTGGAAATCAGCTATGTATTTATGGATATTTGACAGTCTACTCTAGATTAAGTCAATCTTCCTAATTCTGAAGATGCTGCTTAAGAATTTTGAAAGTTACAGTCCCAACTCATCTGGAGGACCTCAGCTATGGGAAGATTGGAATCTAGCTGCATTGGGTATGTTGGCTTCTGTTACACAAGTGAGTTGGATATATGCTGTTATGCTGCACATTTCACCTTCTTACCCCTTGGCATCAGTACATTAGAAATCTTGAGTTAGACCTAATGTAATTTACTGTGCATGTCATTGTTGGTTAATTTTCTTCTGAGCAGAGATTCTTGAATTCTTTTAATTCCAATAGGAAACAATACTATAGATTTAGATCTCTCTTTTCAAAACCTTTAACATCCCAAAATCTGTGTTTCTATCTCTGTTCCTGCCTATAGTAGTAAAGCAAATCATTCTTCTATGATCTTGAGGTCCCTTTGCTTAGAACCCCTACACATGGATGACTTGTACTGTATCTTTTCATATGTCTAAAATCCCATTTAGACCAATTCCATTTCATCAATTATTGGGTTTTATAGAACATTTTAATCCCATCCTTGTACAAGTTTCTGTTCCTCACAGATTTGGAATTTTTGTAATAATCTGCAAAACCACTTGGTCAGCCATTCTCTTTAGGACATGTATCAAAAATGATATTTAGTGTTATATTTTCTCCAAACAGAAATTTTTAAAATAAAGTAAAGTAAATCTGACCCATTCTTTCTTGAATTTAATATTTGCAAATTTTAGGCAAGCTTGTTACTTGGGTGTGCAGAATATTTGTAGAGGAAGAGAAAAGACTTTGAAATACTCTTTGAAAATTCCTGAGAAATACTAGAAAATATGAGAATGCTGAATGATTTGAAATATTAGCACACTTAAAAACAGCATGCTTGGTGTTTTGTTTTTTAATTTGCTTCAAGGGACAAAAATATGCAGCTGCTGCTTACATGACCTTAAATGGAAATAATCTGGGTTTTCTCCAGAGGGATTAAGAATCTACCAGTAGAGCTTCTTTTTCTTTTTCTTTTTCTTTTTCTTTTTCCTTTTATTTTCTTTTCTTTCTCCCTCCCTCCCTCCCTCCCTTCCTTCTCTCTCTTTTGATTAGATTCTCTAGATTATCTGGAATCACATTTAGGGAGGAAGACTTCTATATTTTCTAGTAGAATTTTACAAACAACATTATTATCTATGCAATTGATACACATGTTGGCATTTTACATTCACTGTATTGTTGTGGAAAGAAAGGACTCGAGCCAGCACCGTGCAGGTGTATATATATTTCAAACATCCTTAAATGTATGCTTAGAAGGTAGAAACTTAAAAAAACCCCTCATGATCTTGATAGTGCACACTGGTATTATTTATTGATTCAAAATGTTTCTTGTACATAGTTATACATCTAGAAACTGCCATACATAGTAGAACAGCAAAAATGTTAAATTATACTTCATTATACCAAATTATGTTTATAAAAGACGTCCTCTTCCTGCAGATTTAATCATTGGCATCTTAATTTTACAAGATTACTAATACAGGTAGTCTTCAACTTACAACCCAAATTGGGACTGGACTTACGGTCACTATGGGATGCAGTCATTAAGCGAGTCTGCAGCTGATTCTACAACAATTTTTACCATGTTCCTCAATTGACACTGCTTGTCAGATACCAGCTTGGGAAAGTCACAAAACACAATAACATGACTGCAGGATGCAGCAATCAGTTGTAAATAAGAATAACCTGAATTGCAATCACATGATTGCAGAGGTGGTCCAATGGTCATAAGTGTGAGGATGGGTCTTAAAAAACTTTCTGAGGCTGTAATAACTTTAAACCATTATTAGATGAATGGTCATAAGTTGAGAACTAGCAATATTTCTGAGACAACAGAAATCTTATCACAGCCCATTGGTCAAGACAAGTGAACTAGTATGTTGAAACAGTATAATACAGTTTTGTATGTTTTGATTTGCTATGATGATAGTCACATACAATATGGTAGGAAAGATGTTTTTTGACATTAATGATGCAGAAAGAGCTAATCTATGTAAACTAAAAATTGTGCTAAAGTTGAACTTCTGGGTATAATCATTTTTCAATAACAGTGGTAATTTTAAAGCTTTACTTCCAACTGGACTTTTAGATAGATGGGGTTTTTTTTAATGCTATGCCATTTTTTTTCTTTGCCCTCTTGATGACACCCATGTATTAAAATTGTTTTTTCTTTTTTTAAAAACCATTTTTTTTAATAAAAAGGAAAGTATTCACTGGGAACATAACCAAAAAGCTTGTCTGAATAATAGCAAATAAGACCAAATTTAGAATGTTAACACAGAACATGAAAATGCTATTAATTCTCCTTCAAATGTTTCTTCTCTTCTGTACCAGGTTTGAAAGAATACAAAATATTGTGTGTGAATGTCATATTTGAATGTGCACAATCTTTTATTTATTAGATTACAATTTGGTATCTTCATCAAGTGACTAAAAGTATTACAGATAGGATTGTCTCTCAACCTATCAAATTATATTGTGGCACCTGAAAGGAATGACTTTTCCTTGGTATGCAGTTTAGTAGGAAGAACTGTTGGTTCTTCCATTACTTAATTGCAATATATTTAAGGTACAGTAGCAACCAACATTGAATATCAATTCTTCACACATGCTGATGATATAATGGCTAATTATGCATTGTCATCA